TATATATATATATATATATATATATGTTTTAGACCAGATATATTCTGGTCTATGGCAAGCCACTGATCCATGGGCCAAATCTGGCTTCCTGCCTGTGTCTGTGTAGATGTAGAGGTTAGGGGTTTTCTCATATTTACACAGTTGAAAGAGAAAAAATAAAATCAAAAGAGGACTATACAAAGTTCTTGATTTTAACAACCATCAGCAAAGTTTTACTGGAATACCAGCTGTACTTGATTGTTTATTTTTAATTTATGGCTCCTTGCTACAATGACAGAGTTTGAATATGACCACATTATTTACAGAGCCTAAAATATTTCCTGTGATCCTTGATAGCACATAGAGTTTGCCAATCCCTTTTCTAGAACAAAACCACTTTTCAACCTATACACCAATGTAGTTTAAACTTTACAAAGTACATCACACAACATTGTATGCATGTCTTGGTTGCATACTCTTGAATACATTCATTAAAGCTCTTTATCTTAAACACAATTAAATCTGTGTTGTCTTCCTTTGAAACTTAACCAAAGTTCACTAAGATTCCTATGGCCAGACTCTATCAACACATACAGTGCAGGCTGGGATAAGAGAAATTTGTCACAATCTGCTCTACACTACACAGGAGCCAGATGACCATTCATTCCTGGACCAGAAATGATAGCACAGAAGAAAAACTGTTCTTAATGAGAGAGCTAGTGTTGACAATCTAAAAACAACACAAAATGAAAAACTGTCTTGGGACCAAGGATTAATTTGTTCTGAAATAAGGGTCACATAAAACTCATGTTAAACAAGTAATTGTGACAATACATAGATTCATGGTCTGCCGATTTTAGCACTGAGAAAGCATTCCCTTCATAATTGAACATGGATTTCAATCTAAATGGCATCATACAATTTAAGAACAAATCCACCATCTCCATACAGAAAGGAAACAAAGGGAAGGAGGCAAACAGAGAGGACGTTCCCTAAATAAGCACAGAAAGCACAGGTCAGCCAGAAAGACAGACAGATTTTTACTGAAGCATGTGTAGACATCAGATGCCAGTGTGTGCCACCCATAGTCAAACACCCAGTAAACACACAGTGTGTGAGGCTTGGAGAGTGGGAGTCTCTGTGCTAAATGCAAACTGAAAGGACACAGGTGGAAGACATAGCAAAGCAGGGAGTTAAGAATGGCAAAACACCAGAATCACAATCAGGAAAGTTTTGTCCAAAAGAGTAGGAAGAAAAGAAAAACTGACAATTTTGTAAACTTCTGAAGAGCAGAATGCAACCAAAATCATTTAAATTTCCAATCCAGTCAATAAATTTAAGTCTTCACTCCACGCAATAGTATATTTATCTACTGAAATCTAGCATAATAATGATATCTAATGGAAAAAGATTAAATTTGATAATCTATGTAAGTGAAGGTAAATTTAACAAAACTCAAATAGAAAGATTAATATGTGGTTTTTGCTACAAATTAAAATTGTTTATATAAATTGCTTAAATGCAAGAACTACACTCATAAGCTACTAAAGCAACAAAGTAGAAAAGGGTTAACTTTTGAAATCAAAGTTATTTGCATGTGGTAGTTCACAGCTGACAGGAGCAGCTGTCTGGTTTGTCTAGACAGCTGTTCAGACCCAGTAGAGTTGTTTGCAGCATTGCCAGCAAGTTTTTCACCTTTTCACAAACTGCTGGAGCGGGACTTACTTTCTATCGAGCAATTACAAAGAACTGAACTTGGACTCATATCAAAATAATTCCTGCCAAATGAGGCAGCCCACAGTCCTTAAAATTTAATTGCAAGTACCATTTGATCTTGCCTACATTTTTAGATTTTTCCCTCTTGTTTTAAAAAGGAAAATATAAGGTGATTAATGCTCAGACTGAGCATTTCCATAGGAATCAACTTTTGTGAAGGGGAGAGATGAACCTCGGGGGCACAGTGCTTGTCAGGAATGCACAAGACTGGGAGCAATCTCAGAACTCCACAACAAGCCACGATGGCAGAAAACGACTTTTTCTGGTATGCCTAAGGATGGACAAATGTGCAATAGACATTTAAAATATATACCACAGTCCTGAAATATTTTAAATGGTTCAATCACAAAAGGCTCATCCATTCTTCAAAACACATGAAAAGAAACTATAATAATTCAGATTGAACAAAATTATCTTATTCTTTTCTTTTTAATTGGTGTTTATCTAGATTTACTGGTTTTTATTTTGTATAAGTCACCGATCTAACTATATACCAGCTCTGTAACTGCAAATTACCACCCAACATACACTTGTATTTTTTAATTCTAAAACTCACTGGCACATGTGGGAACACTCTGCTTGATTCTTGTAGCTAATTGAGACTAAAAGACATGTTTAAAGTTATAACTGAAATATTTAAGATAAATTGCTCTCAATATCAACTTCGTTCAGGTCTTGTAAATTATAGGTATAGCCCACTAGGGGAACAGTTCTCAACATGTAGTCCAGGGAAGCTTCAACTTCCTAAGCCACTGCAGATAGTGTCCAAAAGAGCACTAACACGTTTCTGCTCTCCCTTGTGCACCACATGCATGCACAGAGGGCTTTTCCTGAGGTCACATGATTTAAAATACCAACCAAATAAAATCTAAAACAGGAAAAACAGACTCTAGAGAGATTTGCAAAAGTATAGAGCAAACAAACCAAAAACCCAGTTATTTTCATTATACTTGTTTTTAAAGTGTTTGTTTATTGAAGTTATTTATATTACAATGTAATAGTTTCTTGTTGGTATTTTTAGTAAAATAAAATACTTGTTAATGTTTTCAGTCTGAATTTTTCAGTTTATTTTTTATTATAAGAACATGTTATATTTTAGTCAAAAAACCCAAAACTCATACCATTATCTTCTTTTGCTTATATCAGTTTGAATTTGTAATGAGATAATAGCTATATAACCCACATAAACAAAAGCTAGTAGGAAATTCTGAATTTTAAGAGTGTGAAGGAGTTCCTGTGATTATAAAGTCTAAGAAGTTCTGCTTAAGAAGGCAGAAGCCCTTCAGAATGAGAAACTTTTTGTACATTAGCAAGATTTGTCATATTTCTCCTTCAGCAAGTCAGTTAATGAGAAGAAAAACCGAAAAGGAAAAAAAGAAATGTGTCCTGTTTTACTAAGGAAAAACTAAGGCATTTCCTCTTACCATGTCCCCTGCTACCAGAGACAAAGACTAGGACTTACTGTGAAGAAAAGGTCCATGACTCTGCTGTCCAGAAGAGTCTCCCGCCAGGACTCTGTTGGCTTCAACAGCACATTTTGTGAGGATTCAAACATAGCTATATAATGTCTGCCCAGTTATCTAGTGTCAAGGTCAACAACAATAACATTCTTACTTTGTCGAAACTGTAAGTATACCCTAAATATAACAGGAGCCAGCCAGAAAGAATGCAATGGAAACAGTTTAAGCCTCTTCACATACGCTACATAATTCATGCATGAAGCTAAGGAATAAAAGGCATTAAGTGCTGAAAAAAAGAATGCTATAGGAATGTAAGATAACCGTTTTAGTCATTGCGTGTATCAAACCATGGGGATACAGAAACCTGGACAATCAGAGATCTTAATAGAGGCAACAGAAGAAAAAACATGACTTAAAAACAGGTATCAGAAGCTAAACACACACACACAAAAATCAACATCTGCAAATTTGCCCTATCACATCCCTCCCTAATATCTTAAACAGCTAAAATCATATATACAAAATGTCTCTCAAATAGCCTATAGGGAAAACCAGCAGTTTTCCAAAAGAAGTATGTTCATAGGAAAACAGAAAAGGAACATGAAAGTTTATGCTTCACACTGAAAAAGAAAAACTGAGATCACAGTAACCCAACATAAAGTCAAAAAAAGAATTAAGCAACTTGACAGAAAACAGATGTTGATTTAAAATTCCCATAGGCTTGAGGGAGACAAAGATGTCTTGATCCCCAGGACCCTCTAGATAGCCAGACAGCCTAATTGGTAAGCTCCAGGCCAATGAAAGCTCTATCTCAAAAACAATATGGACAGCCCCCAAGAAATGACTTCTGAAGTTGTCCTCTATACACACACACACACACACACACACACACACACACACACACACACACACACACATTTGTAGGTACTGATGAATGTATGCATAACCTTATTAACTGCAGCTTTAAGAAATAAGAGGCTGCCTGCAATGGAGAGGGTAACTTCTGCCCCTTGCATTGGGAAACAAAGTCTGAATGAGGCAAAATTCTCATTCAATGAGAAATCTGGATATAGGAATCTAAGATAACACTGCAAAAAAAAAAAAAAATCAAGCATACAAATTCAAATGCTATCATTTCTTTAAACACAACTCATTATTTTTAGAGAGAAATTATATGCAGAGAAAATTGAAAACCGTAACAAGGCTTTGGTAACTACTCGTTAAAAGACAGCTGCTTATAAGAATGCTTTTTTGTCAGCCAGGTAGTAGTGATACATACTACTTTAATCCCAGCAGAGGCCAGTGGATCTGAGTTCAAAGCCAGCTAAGTCTACAGCTAGAGTTCTAGGACTGCCAAGGCTACACAGAGAAACCCTGTCTTGGAAAACAAAATAAAACATTTTTTTTTTTTTTCTTTTGGTCCCTGAAGGTGGATGGAGAGGGCATTGAGTTATCTTAAGAAAGGATGTAAGTGTTTCTTTCTGAAGTCATTCCTAAACTCCTGCAATTCTGACTAGCAAAAGTGAAACCCTGAACTGGCTCATTTCACACTTTCCCCCTCCTTTATCTGCCCCCTTGTGGACAGAAAGAATGAAACCCCAAGGAAGGTAATCCTGAAAAAGCAGTGGACAACTAAGAGTCATCAATGTAAAGTGAATTCATCTCCCCAAAGCACCAGCTACATACAGTCAGCACAACACACTGGCTGAAAGGCTGGTTACCTTTAGAAAAAGAAACTGAAAGATTTACTGATGCCATTATCATTAATTTCACAGTCTACTGGCTATTCTCTTTTATATGCCTTTGAGATTCACAATAAAGCAGCTCAGGGATCTTTTGTGCTTAGAATAGATCAACTAGGAAAAGAAATACAGGCTCTATAACTCATGAAACAGAGAACCAACCCATTTATCTTTTTCTAGCTTTAGTGCAGTTTTATTAATTTTTATTATGTGAAAGGTCAGTAATGAAACTTATTAACTACTGTATGACCTAAAATGGCGTGATGTACGTATGTATCTATACATATATACATATGCATATTTTACAGAGACCACATAATACTGTGAGGGAAAAATGTACATGCAGATCTAGACCATACCAAAATAATGTAAAGAACTAAGGTAATTCAGTTTTTTGTTTGTAATTCAAATATTTTTGTAATCAAAGATATCTCAAATACTATTTCAACCCAAGTAATTCTTAATGTGGAAATACATTTTTTAAAAAAAGAAAAATAGATAAAGTCACTATGGTCAGAACTTAGAAATCTAAGTTTCAAATCTTAAAACCATGTCTTAAAGCATATTGAGCCAGGTGCAGTGGCATATGTCTTTACTTCAAGCACTAAGGAGGCAGAAGCAAGTGGATCTCTGAGTCTTAGGTCAGCCTGGTCTACATAGTGAGTTCTAGGACAGCCAGGACTATATAGACATACCCTATCTCAAAAACAAAAACAAACAAAGTTGTGTGCTGGCAAGATCACCCAGCAAGTAAAAGCACCCGTGAGTCTGATGCCCTGACTGAGCTCAATCCCAGGAACCCACTTAAAGGTAGAAGGGAACCCATGCTACAGCTTTGTTCTCTGACCTCCACAAGTACCATGGCACTTGAACTCTGTGCCAAGAGAGCATGTGCTCACATTTGCTTTCTCTCATATAATAAAGTTCTTTTAAACAAAAAGTTATTTGAATGGTAAAGCAAATTTCGTTAAAAAATATCTTAAGCCGGGTGGTGGTGAGAATGCCTTTAATCCCAGCACTCGGGAGGCAGAGGCAGGTGGATCTCTGTGAGTTCGAGACCAGCCAGGTCTACAAAGCTAGTTCCAGGACAGCCTCCAAAGCCACAGAGACATCCTATCTCGAAAAAACAAAAAAAAAAAGAAAAACAAAGGCGGGT